GACTATCCTCTGTTTTCTTCATATGGGCACTTAGTGCAATGAACTTCCCTCGTAGCACTGCTTTCAAGGTGTCCCATAAGTTCAGGTATGTTGTATCCTCATTCTCGTTGAATATTAGAAAGTCCTTAATTTCTTTCTTTATTTTTTCTTTGGCCCAGGTGTGGTGAAATTGCACATTGTTCAGTTTCCATGAGTTTGCAGGTTTTCTGCTATTTGTATTGTTGAATTCCAATTTTAAAGGCTGGTGGTCTGATAAGATACAGGGGACTATTCCTATTCTCTTGTATCTGTTGAGGTTTGTTATGTCACCTAGTATGTGGTCGATTTTAGAGAAGGTTCCATGTGGAGCAGAGAAGAAGGTATATTCTTTTGTCTTTGGATGGAATGTTCTATAGATGTCTGTTAACCCCAGTTGAGACATAACTTCTGTTAGTTCTTTTGTTTCTTTGTTGAGTTTCTGATTTGTGGTCCTGTCTAGTGTTGAGTGGTGTATTGAAGTCTCCCACTATAAGTTTTTGAGGTTTTTATATGAGCTTTGAGTTTTAGTAGCGTTTCTTTTACGAATGTGGGTGACTTTGTATTAGGGGTACAGATGTTCAGAACTGAGACTTTGTGTTGACGGATTTCTCCTGCGATGAAAATGAAATGACCGTCTTCATCTCTTTTGATTAATTTTGGTTTGAAATCTAACTTGTTAGATATTAGGATAGCCACACCTGCTTGCTTCTTGGTTCCATTTGATTGGGAAATCTTTTCCCAACCCTTTACCCTGAGGTAATGTCTATCTTTGAAGCTTAGATGTGTTTCTTGTATGCAGCAGAAGGATGGATTCTGTCTTCGTATCCATTCTGTTAGCCTGTGTCTTTTTATAGGTGAGTTAAGATCATTAATGTTGAGGGTGAGTAAGGACCATTGATTGTTGATGCTTGTTTGTTTTAGGTTTGTGGTTGGCAGTGGTATTGTGAATATATTTGTTCTGCTTTACCCTTTGTTTCTGGTGTAGTTGGATTATCTGTTGCCTATATTTTGTGGGAGTAGTTACCTTCCTTGGGTTGGAGTTTTCCTTCCAATACTTTCTGTAGGGCTGGATTTGTAGATGCGTATTGGGAAAATCTGGTTTTGTCATTAAATATCTTGTTTTCTCCATCTATAGTGATTGAGAGTTTTGCTGGATATAGTAGCCTAGGCTGGCATCCGTGTTCTCTTAATACTTGTAGAATATCTATCCAGGACCTTCTGGCCTTGAGGGTTTCCATGGAGAAATCAGGTGTAATTTTGATAGGTCTGCCTTTATATGTCATCTGACCTTTTCCCTTCACTTCTCTTAATATTCTTTCACTGCTCTCAATATTCTTTCTTTATTCTGTATGCTAGGTGTTTTGATTATTATATGTCGAGGGGTCTTTTTTCTTTGGTCTAGCCTATTTGGTGTTTGGTATGCTTCTTGTACTTTCATGGGCATGTTCTTCTTCAGATTGGGAAAATTTTCCTTGATGATTTTGTTGTTGAATATGTTTTCGGCACCTTTGAGCTGGGCTTCCTCACCTTCCTCTATGCCTATTATTCTTAGGTTTGGCCTTTTCACGGTGTCCCACATTTCCTGGATGTTTTGTGTTAAGGATTTGTTGGATTTATGATTTTCTTTGGTCGATGAATCTATTTCTTCTATTTTATTGCCTGAGAGTCTCTCTTCGATCTCTTGAATTCTGTTGGTTATGCTTGCGTCTGTAGTTCCCAATTTTTTGCCCAGTTTTTCTATTTCCAGCATTCCTTCGGTTTGTGTTGCCTTTATTTTCTCAATTTCAGTTTTCAAGTCTTGAACCATTTCCTTCACCTGCTAATTGTGTTTTCTTGGCTTTCTGTACTTTCTTTACTTTCCTTAAGGAATTTGTTCATTTCTTCCACTTTTCTGTTTGTTTTTTCTTCCATTTCTTTAAGGGATTTTCTCACATCTTCTTTGAGGGTCTCTATCATTTTTATGACAATAATTTTTAAGTCGTTCCCTTCTGCTTCCTCTGCTTTGTTGTGTTCTGTTCTAGTTGGTGTAGATTCCCTAGATTCTGGTGGTGTCATGCTTGTCTTTCTGTTGTTAGGTGTTTTCTTGTATTGCCGTCTTCCCAGAGCTTCTTCCAGTAGGTGTTGGTGGGGTCTCCCCCTCTCTCTATGGTATTTCCCCTGTGGGCTTATGTGGGTCAGAGACTCAATATCTGTAGCTCTGGGTGGTCCAAGCTCTATAGGCGGTTTCTCTGCAGACAGGGACCCAGGGATGGGGTCAGGGCTGAGGATCCAGTAGAAGATGCCTCTAGCCAATGGCTCTAGCCAATGGCTAGCAGAAGAGGACAAAGGCTGAGCTGAAACTTGGGAAGGTTTTGCAGGATAGTCAGATCTCACTGGAAACTGGCACTCTCCAGCTGAGGCCTCTTTCTTTTGCAGAAGCCCTGCTTTGGGGGTCAAGGATCTTGCTGGCAGGAACTCAGAGTGGACCCACAGAGATAGGCGGATCTCTAGGAGGGGCCCGGGACTCCAGCAGAGGACTGGAGGTGGGGTCAGAGACCAAGCAGGTGGAAACTATGGGTGGTCCCGCGTGGATAGGCAGGTCTCCTTTGTTCAGATTTGCTCTGAGAAGTCTCCGAAGTAGGGTAGACTATTGGCTCCACCCTCTGTCTCAGTGCTAAACCAGAGCTGCAGGACAGTGGGCAGGGTAAGGCACAGGGTAGGAGGGGCAGGCTCATGGTGGGGATGGGTGGGGGTGTATCAGAGCTCCAAGGGTGCTCTCGATGGGGACAGGACACAGGAGCAGAAGGATCAGGGGCCAACCCAGGGAGTTGGGGGGGGGTAGAGGTTGTAGGGGAGATGCAACCCCAATTGAGCCCAGATACCTCTAGCCAATGGCTGGCGGAAGAGGACAAAGGCTGAGCTGAAACTTGAAACTTGGGAGGTTTTTGCAGGATAGTGGGATCTCACTGGAAACTGGCACTCTCCAACTGAGGCCTCTTTCTTTAGCAGAGGCCCCGCTTTGGGGGTCAGGGATCTTGCCCGCGGCCAAACAAACCAAAGTTAACTGACAGTTTATCAATAGACCTTACAGATACCTACATAACAGTCCATTCAAACACTTCAGAAGACATTCCAATCAACCTATAGAACTGGCTCTAAAATAGACCATAATAGATCATTTAATAGAACATAAACCCTTAACAAGTATAGGGAAACAGAAATAACTTCTTTTGTTTTGATCACAATGCTAAAAGCTAAAAATCAATAGCGAGAGTAACTATAGAGCATGCAAAGGTCTGGAAATTAAACAACAAACCGTTGTATAATTCACAGTCATTAAATCAAGAAGGCACTCAGAGAGCAGAATCAAATAAGAGGAAAACAGCACACTGACATGTGTGGGCCACAACACAAGTATTTCTAAGGGGAAAGCTGTAGCAAAATGTGCCCACATGTAAAAACAGAAAATTAGTGACCCTCACATAAATGGTAATGCCCTTTAGAGCAGTGGCTGGAAAATTAAGATGAGTGCAGATTAACAGAAGACTCGGGGAGGCTGAGTTGCTTGAGTAAATAAACAAGGGAAGGGGATGTAACTTACCAAAATGTCTGACTGGCACACCCAGCAGTTCAGAAACCAGGTGTGGGAGCACACACTTACAATCTCAGCATTTAGGAAGTAGAGACAGGAGATTGAGAAATTATCCTCCTCTAAATGTGGGTGACAGTGTGTGGCTTGGACAGTCTATGGGTACACAGGCAGTGGGACCAGGATTTATCCCTAGTGCACGAACTGGCTTTTCGTAGCCCATTCACTTTGGAGGGATACCTTGCTCAGCCTAGACCTGGAGTGGGAGAGGGGCTTGATCCTGCCTCAAAGTGATGGGTCAGACTTTGTTGACTCCCCATGAGAAGCCTTACCCTCTCTGAGGAGTGGATGGGGTGGGGGGATACGGGAAGGTGGGGAGAGCAGGAAGAGGAGAGGGAGTGGGAACTGGGGTTGACATCTAAAATGAGAAGATTGTTTTAAAAGAAAATGATAAAAATAAAAAGTTATCTCCTCAGATTCATAGCTAATTTGAGACCAGTCTGGGATGCATAAGACCCCATCCAAAAGGAAAAGAAAAAAGAAAAAGGGTAGGGAGAAGGGAGTAAAGAAAGAGAAAGGAGGGAAGGTGGCAGAGGAGACGGGGACTGAGAGGAACAAGATTTAAAAAATCTCTTGCAAAACCAAAAGTAGGGAAAGCACTTCAGGATACAGACAAGGGCTTTCTGAAGACTTTCAGATCACTCAGTAAATAATGCCAACAATTAAAAATAGGATCCCATTACAAAGCTTTGCAACAGGTCATTCAAATCAAAATTTAGAGAAATTCTGCTTTTTTTTTTAATGTTCATTGATGTTTTGTCTGCATGTGTGTCAGTGTGAGGGTGACAGATCCTTGGAACTGAAATTACAGACAGGTGAGCTGTCATGTGGGTGCTGTGAATTGAACCCCAGTCCTCTGGAAAAGCAGCCGGTACTCTTCTTCCTTTTTTAAAATATTTATTATGTATTCAGTGTTCTGCCTACATGTGTCCTCACAGGCCAGAAGAGAGCACCAGATCTCATTACATGTGCTTATGAGTCATCATGTGGGTGCTGGGAATTGAATTCAGGTCCTTTGGAAGAGCAGTCATTGCTCTTAACCACTGAGCCATCTCTCCAGCCCAGAAGCCTACTTTTAAATGGTGCCCATTATAAGCCAAGATCTCAAACCTTAAAAATGTATTTAACTAAAAAAAATTGTTTAACTGACATGACACTGAAACAGACATCTCTTAAATCCTTATGAAGTCCAACAAAATGGCTTCCTAATATAAACAAAAGAAATCCTTTTATAGAACAAAAACAAGGCTACACTTTACGACTGTTACCATGTGCTTTAATAATATACCACCCTTAAACTTTTACCATGACAAGGATTCTTATACACTCATTTTATGATTACAATCTCGCTCACTGCTTCACTGTGATGCTGACATTGCTTTTGTGATGCTGAACACTGAGCATGAGCTCCTCTCCTGCTTGTACCCAGATGGGATTATCCAGAACCACAGCAGCTTGTTTCCAATGGGAGGCTTCACCTGAGGTGTCCAACTTGACCTCATCATCAAGGCACAAATGAAACCAAAATGGGACAGCAGTCACTCGTCCAGATCTACAAATGCGGACCTATAGAAATTGAATTTTGAACATCCCATTAGGCAAGTAAGTCTTCTTTCTCTTTTTAATCAATTTGAATAAAAAACTAAAAATATATTGAAGCCCCCATTCAAATTTAATAATAGTCTTAGACACTAATATTTATTCAATCCATCTTTGCATGTTGTCCAGAAAAGATTTAAATCTTCAAAGGAAATGATAAACATGTAGATATAGTATCCCTCACTTAAGGCAAATTATTCTGACTATGGCAAGAATGATCATTTGTAGTTGTCCTTACCTTTACTTCTCTATTGGAAGTGTTCAAATATGGAGTCATCAGATCTAATCTTAAGAGTTCCACTGGTTGGCTTAAAGGGACACATGGCAATGAAGATAAATCCAAAAACACACGGATAGGCACCTGAGGAAAGAGTGCACTCGGACTTACCATTTGTACAGTCAGGTTTGTGGTGTGCTTGAGTTGCAATTAGCTCCTTGTGACAGAATGCTTTCTACTGCCCTGTTTATTTTCTCCATTAACCTAAGGCATGAACCCTCTTGACCAGTCTTTCAGAATGAATGAACATGCTAAGGTTTAGGCAGGTTCAACACTTTGCTATTGTTTGTTACCTACAGGCCTTTCTCTTGGATGACAATACACTAAACTTTTAAGTGGCCAAACAATTCCAGAAACATTTGTACCTATAATATGTGAACTAATAAGCAAATAATCTAACAGGAAGTATTAATGTGTTTGATCAGAGGCACCAAATTTAGCCAGGCATGGTGGGTGGTAGAATATGCCCTCAATCCCAGCACTTGGGAGACAGAGGCAAGGGTATCTTTATGAGAGGCCAGCCTGGTCTACATAGTGAGTGTAGAAGGAGTTTATGGGTCCTTGTCCCAACCAAGAAGCATGCTTGTAAACATCATTTAATTGTTTGGTAGCAGGACCGCTTAAAAGAGCTTATGTTAATTATAAACTGTTTGGCCAATGGCCCAGGCTTCTTACTGGCTAGCTATTTGGCAGATGGCTCAGGCTTCCTATTGGCTAGCTCTCTCTCTTAATTATTAACCCATTTCTATTAATCTAAGAATCTCCACATAATCTTGTCTTACTGGAGAATACCCAGTGCCTTATCTTCCCAGAAGCTATATGGTGTCTCTCTCTGGCAACTGCTTTCCTGTCTCTTTCCTCTTCTCAGAATTCTCCTAGTCTGGTAGCCCTGCCTGTTCTTCCTTCCTGGCTACTGGCCTATTAGCATTTATTCATCATCCAATAAGAGAAATATAAAGGACCTCACCCATCAGGTGAGTTCAGACCAGCCAAGGCGACACAGTGAACCTTGCCTCAAACAAACAAACAACAACAATGGGAGGGGCATGAATTCATTTTGAAAAACAAGTTCTTTTCTACAAGGCAATGGTTCTCAAAACCTTGGCTCCAAATTCAAGTTACTGAGAGAGCGTTAAATGTCCACCTGCTCAGGGTCAACCCCATGCCAATCTGTAGTAGGTCCAGGATTCCAAAGCTCTGAGTCCCCACAAACAGCCATCTCAGTTGCAATGCATTTCCCTCCCTCAGACTTTCAAGCCTCTTCCTCATTTGAAATAAAAGGCTGAGAGGCTGGCCACAGACAGATCAGCCTCTCCAGGCCACTCACCCAACCTTTCATAAAAGCTCAGGGGCTACAGACAACTTTCAGTCTTCATTTTGCCTTTAGTCCTGGCTATAGCAGTAACTGAGAGCCCTGCATTCCCACTTCTCACTGCCTGAGATAGTAACCCTTTCAGTTCTCCTCACAGCTTACTGTCTGTCCCCACTTTTGTTTCTCAGCCTAAACTCCTGGCTTCCAGTCACCATCAATAAACTTTCAAGCTCTCTAAATTCAGTTCTCAAATCCTTTTCTGCATACCCCTAGTTTTCTGTCTAGTATTGTGGTTTTCAATACCATATATAAGATACTGACTGCTAAATTCACATACTAGGCCTTGAGTCTGACTCCTTATCTACCCTTCCTGATCCTTTCTCATACTCCACACCCAACCTGTAAAACTCCAACTTTTGAAATATAGGCACAAGCACACAAGGCTCCAGTTGCAGTCTAAGCCACTACCTCACAGCATCACAAGCCTTTGGCTGGCTTCAAAGTGTTCTATTCCTAAAAGCCACCAAAGTTACCTTTACAGAGCAAGTTGTTACATCATGCCACTGTTGAACCCTCTCTGATGCTGCCTAAGGATACTCATTTGCCCCATAGGATATGACATACACCTTAGTAGACAGGTATGCAGGGTTTGGAGTAATTTAATTCCATTTCTGGAATCCTAAGGGCAAGCAGGGTAACTGACTGTGGTGGGAATGCTGGAGCTGGATGTCTTGTCCCCTGTCTTTCTGCCATGGAACAGCTGGTTAAATCAATCTATAGTCCCTGTTTAGGCCCTGATCCCGAAGGAAAGCAAAGATAGGTCTCAGGCAGAGACTTCTGGGACTCAACAGCTCCAAAAAACATCTGATGAAGGGTCTTCTCCCCTTTAATATTGCACACAAAGGCAGAGACTATGGGCATATTCCTTTTCCAAGGAGCTGACATACTTGACTGGTGTGCCCATTGTAAGTTCCCACCACTTTTTGTTCTTGTTGCCCCGAGTCAATCTACCAGTCTCCTTCATAGTCAGAGGCAACAGAAGTCTAGAGGTATCCACAGCAGACAAATCTGTGGTATGTATTGCCTTCTCTGTGAAGAGCGCTAACTTCCCTGGCAAGCTCACAGTTTAAGCGGTCTTCTCATTGGCTATAGTAGAATAGTATTTTGCACAGATGTGTATTTTTTCTTGGGCTCTCCTTGCCTGGCAGGCTATGTTAGCAGCTAGAGTTAACTTGATGTCACCAGGCCCATCACCTCCTGAAGGATGTAGGGGCCCCTTAAGGTTGATCATGCTGGCCATACTCTTAATCTCTTGTCCATAGAGAAGTCCTGCTCCCATCATACACCTTTGATTTATATTGAGATACCTGTTTTGCACAGAGCTGGCACCAATGCACACAGTATAGCAGATTCCTGAGTTTTTTAGTTCAAGCCTCCTAGGAGGGAAACATTCCTCACCCAATCTAATGTGGCATATTGGACATATTAGGGCTATAAGGCCTGTCACTTAAGGAGGCATGACTCATTCTTCCTGGAGGGAGTATAAACATAGGTTAGGATATCAGGCTGCAACACCCACGGGGTTCATGCCTCCTTCTAGCATGCCTACACTGGGATAACTGGCGCTGTAACTATACTTGGACTGCCTGGATTTATCTTCATAGCTCCTCATGGAGTTCTGTATGTGTACAGTCTTGTACAATGTGGAGATCTGAGGTAGATATGGCTGTCTTCTTTGATTGTTTTTCCACCTTATTTTTCATAGAAGGTGAATATAGGTAGAAATTTTCTGCCATGATGGTCTGTGTTCCCTCAAACTGTGAGCCAAAATAAACCTTTACTTTAAGGTGATTATGTCAGGGACTTTGTTGTACCAACTAGTAACTAATACATACATGTAATTTGGGAATGGTGACATATGTCTATAATTCTAGCCCTTAGAAGAAAGAAACAGAAAAATCAGGGGTTCAAGGTTATCCTTATTTATACATTGAGGTCCTCCAGGTTACATCAGACCCCTACCTAACAAATAAAAAATAAACAAATAAATAAATGAGCAGTGCATGTAGCAGATGTTCAATAAACATTTATTGAATAGTTTTTAATGTATTATATTCTTTTAACCTTTGATTTTGTTTCATTGATTCACTGTTATCTAGTAATTAATCACTGAAAGAGAGGAGATAGCAATGGGTAAACAGACTATAAAATATAAAACTGCCAAGACAGGCCAGTAGTGACATACACCTTTAATTTCAGCACTCAGGAGGCAGAGGCAGGCTGATCTCTGTGAGTTTGAGACCAGCCTGGTTTACAAAGTAAGTTCCAGGACAGCGAGGGCTACACAGATAAACCCTGTCTAAAACAAACAAACAAATAAAATAAAATAAGTAAATCTTCCAAGAAAGGTTCTGGAGTCTCTTTAGATAATTGATTATCAACTAAAGTGAGGTCATGGCATGAAGGGCCAACTGTAGCAAGTTACAGAGAAATACAATAGGTAGGATTTACCCAAGGCAGGATCACCCAAGAACAACAGGGGATGGAGTGTACTATTTACATTACATGAAAAATACACTGAACACAAAATCTAAGCTGATAAGAGTAGCCGCAGCTGGGAAATGCAGTGAAAAGGCAGAAGGACCAGTATATTGTAGACTCTGATAGAATTAAAGAACTGCTAGAGTCAGGATCAAGAAAGATGGGGAATGGAGAGCTAAACCAGGAGTTAGGAGCACTCACTACTTTAGCAGAGGCCCTGGTTCAGTCCCCAGCACTCCCATGGTGACTCTAGTTCCAGGAGATCTGATGCCATCTTCTAGACTCCATGAGCAATGCACACACAAGAGGCATATGCATACAAACAGATAAACAGTTATACACTAAAATAAGTAATTCTTTTTTTTTTTTTTAATATAATAGAAAGACAGATGGTGGCATTTTGGGACCAGGCATAGAAATAGCTTAAATGTCAGAGGAAAATATATAAACTTTAGTCAGTATTTATGACAAAAGTCCTTGCTTATTCTGACTCTCAGGTTGATTTTTTGTCAGTGACATGTTCCTTTACTCTAGGAAAATGACTGTATTTCTAATCCAGCTAAACCAACTGAACTCAAAGGAGAGACAAAGACAAAGGGAGACAGCACAATAACTTGACTGAATGGTTCTCTAGACACTTACCTGAAACTGGTTAATAAAAGGTGCTATGTTTAACCCAAGAGTATGTTCTGTTCCTTGAACAGCGCTCTCTTCTACCAGTGTCTGTGACTCCACGAGCATCCCAAACATCAACACATACTGTGGGAAGATCTTGCCTCCAGATTGTAATAAACACCTGAAGAAGAGCAAATACTGCTAAAGCCTTTTAATTCCCTGCACTTTATAGATAAGAAGTAAGCATCTTCAATTAGTGAAGTGTAGATGATACATCGTCCAGTAGTTCAAAATTTAAACCACTAAAAACAATTGGTCAAGAAGTCAAATTTGGACAGACTAGGCTAAATTCTTAGTTACAGGCCACAAATCATTAATGGAGAACCATCCCTATGTGGAAATCAAAATGCTCCAAAATCCAGCACTTTTAGCCAGGCTTTTAATCCCAGCACTTGGGAAGCAGGTGGATCTTTTTGAATTTGAGGCCAGCCTGGTTTGTAGAGTGAGTTCCTGGATAGCCAGGGCTACACAGAGAAACCCTGTCTCAAAAAAAACCAATAAACAAACAAATAAATGAAATCCAGTGCTTTTTGGGCATTCATACAATATAATATGTGGGATAGTCTATATATGATTTCATGAATAAGCTGTCATCAACACACAAGTGCACTAAAAACACTTAAGGCTGCCTTATGACTGTGTATAAGATATATATGAGACATGAATAACTTTCATGTATAAACTTATGCTCCTTCTACAAGCTATCATTATGTGTAAACAGCTGCAACAATGATGGTCTCAAGCATTTCAGGCAAGGTGAAAGTTTGACTGGGAAAAGAACAGTCTCAAATACTACACTACAAATGGTACAGTACATGAGGGTACAGAATATATGGAAGTTCTCTGAACTACTCTGTAACTTCTCTGAAATGACTCACTATAAAGGATTAAACACTCCAAATGCAAATACATATGCAAACTGAAATATTCTAGAAAAGAAAGCAAGACAAAGGTTAACAAAACCCTTTCTCATGCAACTGCACTTAATGCTACCACACTCTGTTCACCGTCATTCTCCCTTTAGTCCCACAAAAAAGGCATTAACAATACTGCTTATGGTTATTAAAAAGTATCCTGTTAAGTAGGCTGGACCTGGTACCAGGTGTTCCTGTAGCAAGGATTTGGAGGTTATGGCAAGGCAGAATCAGTTTCTCATTGGTTGCTACTGTGGAGTCTTATTTCTCATACCTGACTATAAAGAGGAAGCAGAAGCACAAAAACTATGTAAGGAGGATTATTCCTCATCTGTCACATCTTCAGATATCAAACTTTGTTTTTACTAAGTATTCTGGGATGTCTTCTACTTGAACTTCCAGAGCAGGAACCACACAGAGGTACTGACCATCAAGTATATTTCACAGTAAATTTTAACCAAGTTAAAGATCTACTTTAAAATATATACTAGTCATCTGGCCAGTTTGTACAGTTCTAAAAAATAACGTGCACAAACGTTTCTATTTTTGCTTATGTAGCTTCCCTAAACAGATCATTAAGACTTAGGGGCTGGGCACCTGCAGTCCAGAGCTTAGATCCCAGGTAAAGAAGAGGGGGCAGAAGAGGGATCCTCTAGACTAGACCAATAAGCAAACTGTGTGTTTTGTAACAGACCTTACTTCAACACAGTAAGGAGAAAATGAGGAAAACACTCAACACTTACAGGACGGATAGCAGGAACCAGTGAAGCACTAAGTCAGAGTAGTGTCCATTCTTAGGTTGAACCATGTACTTAGGGCTTAAGTCTAGGCTCGTACGATCATGTGCTTACACAGTGAGTAGCCAGACTAGACTGGTTCAAGGTCATGACTGACTCTTACCCATCTAATGCCCTTACATCTAGGTGTCTGATCCAATGCTATCCTACACTGTTGCTAACAAGTTGTTTATGTTCAAGGGAAAGTCAATAGTTAACCTCAATTAGTGACATTACTTATCTCTTAACAAAGCCCCACAGCTCTCAACAAAACCCTTCCTATTAGCTTGTGAGCTGTTATGAGATTGTTCTATTTACTTGTTAATTTTCTGCCTATTTAATTTTCTAAAATGTGAAGCTCAAGAAAAGTTCTAAGAATGATAACAGTGCATACTAACTTGTTATTTAACTGTTATTAAATGAATCATTTTAACAGGCATGGACATTATATTAAGTTTTCTGTGTAGTACCAGGGATACCAAAACAAGTTTATCACCACTGAACCATACCTCCAGCCCATAAACTTGATTGTTACCTTAACAAGTACCTTCCCTTATTCATTAAAATTTCTCACACCAAACTGGAAGGAAGTCTTCTCCAAAACAGCCAATTAATTAATTCTCCAACATCAGTATCTTAGGATTCCAGTCCATTCTAACACAATCTATCCATGTCACACAAGCTGCGAATCCTAAATCCCAGGTGTCCAGTATGCTGTACCCACTGATATACATGTGCTATACACACAACTCCCTCTTTGAGGGAAGCATCTGATCATTTGCTAATGTGGCTCACAGAACTAAGAAAAACATTACCTCTATGTACTGGCTTGCTACAAAGAATAAAACTCAGAAATGGGAAGCTGGAAGAGATGGCTCAGCTGTTAGGAGCATTTGTTGCTCTTGCAGAGGACCCGAATTCAATTCCTAGCACCCATATGGTAGTTCACAACCATCTGTAAATCCAGTTCCAGGGGATTCAACATCCTCTTCTGGCCTTTCCAGGCACCAGGCACAAATGATGTACACATACATACATGTAGGCAAAATACACTTAAAATAAATACATCTAAAAAAAATTTGAAAGACAAACTCATTCAGATATGGCCATACACAAGACATATATTGGGCAATGGTGATTTGTACTAACACTATATTTGATCTTTATCTTGTTTTTTGTTGTTGTTGTTGTTGTTGCTGCTGCTTTGTTTTTTTGGTACAAAGCTCTAAAACACAGAGTCAAAGGAATAGAAAGAGTACTTCTGAATACCAAGGCCATGACAGTGGCTAGGAACTCCAAAAAGAATAAGGAATGACTACAGTTGGGCCTTGCTGTCTTATTTCCCTGCTGGCCTCAAAACCAGGCTGAATTATCACTAATACCCAGTGATGCTCATACCCATGATGCCCCACAAAAACCCAAAGGGACAGCATTGAGAGACTGCAGTTCAGAATGAGAACAGTCCTGGACAGCATGTCTGGGAAGACCATGGAAACTCTGCTCCCTTCCCGTGTGCCTTGCTCTCTACACTCTCCTTCTGGCTCCTCACCTGATCATCTATAATAAAAAGCTTAATCTAAGCCAAGCATTTTTCTAAATCCTGTGAGCTTCAGCAATAGCTGAAGAGGGTTTTATTAATGGAGGGTCCCTTCGATTTGTACCTGGGAGTTCAGAGAACAAATGACAACATACTATGTGCATCTGACTTTTGAAGTTGTAGCTGTCCTATAGGTTCTGCCTACCTTCAGATAGCAGGACCAAAACTGAACTGAATTAAAGAACACCCATCCAGTTGGTGTCTGCTGTGGAACTAACTGCTTGGTGTTGGGGGGGGGGGTTTCCCTGTATTGCTATCATTGGGAGTACAGAGCAAAAGGTGGGTCAAACAAGAATGAGCTCTTTACGGGAGAGGGACACTCAGAGCTCCTGAAGTCTTGACGTCCACTACTCTCCCACATTTGGATGTGTTTACCCCCTCCGTGATCTTTCCATTCAGAGATTTTATGAAGTTTCAGTTAGTCACTGCTCATTAACTCCACTTCAGGAGAGGAAAAGCTAACCTGGCAACTAGCTTCTACCCCAGACCTGTCAGAGGCCTGCAGCAGAACAAACTCCTGTGTCAGGGTTAGGGTTAGACAGTAGATATTTATCTCACCTCTATTGCCCATAAAATTCAAAACAAAACAAAAGAAAGAAAAAAAAAAAAAAAAAAAAGAAAGAAAAAGTAAGTTTTGAACGCAAAATCCCCTATTCAGTTTTTGTTTTACCTGGATATTGCAGCTTTTTCCATTATTTCCTGCTGAATGAGCCCAGATGGCTCAATGACATCTAATATAATTATGCTCCACAATTTGTCTGATTGGGGTCTTTGCAACACAGCAGCTTCATCCTCAATATGTCTCAGCCAAAACTCAAGTGTTTCCTTAGGGAAGTGATTGGCTTCGGATATGAGGTCCAAAGCGATACAATGCTGGTCTTTCTCTACAGAACTGTAGGGCTTAACTTCACCAAGTGTTCCAGCAATTATAGGCAAGAGAGAGAAGCCTTCAGACACATCTAACACATAGAAAGGGTCAAAGGTGCTTGGTACGATACCACTCTGTCTACTTCCAGAGTTCATCTCGATATCCTGGCATTGAATATCCACGGACTGGCACTTCTCTGGGGCCAGTGAAGATAATACTTTCCTCATAGCCATTTTAAATCCTTCATGATATGGGATGTTATTGAGTAAAGCAATCTCTGTAGGTTCTAACACACAGGTCAGCTCCAGAGCATCTGCTCTACTAGTCTGAAGGTTAGCCAGGGCACTACAGAGCTCAGCTTCATTTCCTAGAGAGAGCAAGTCTTTACTCTTGGTAAAATTTTTTGTAACTTCCATTTCATGTTCCAAATGCAAAATATTGATACTCTGGATTCTTAGGTAACAATCTTGACAAGATGCTTCCATTGTCACACGGTCCCCAGGCTTTATCCAGTAGTCTTCATTAGTAAGGAAGGGGGGAGAAAAAACAAAAACAAAAAAAAAATAAATAAATAAATATATATAAATTGATTGTCTTAGTTAGGGTTTCTGTTGCTATAATAAACACCAAGATCAAAAGCAGTTGGGGAGGAAAGAGTTTATTTGGCTTACACTTCCATATTACAGTCCATCATTAAAGAGAGTCAGGGCAGGAACCTGGAGGTAGGAGCTGATGTAGAGGTCAAGGAGGGATGCTGCTTACTGGCTTGCTCCCTATGATTTGTTCAATTACCTTTCTTATAGAACCCAGTACCACCAGCATAGTGGTAGCCCCACCCACAACAGACTAGGCTCTCCCCCATCAATTACTAAAATAAGCTACAGGCTTACCTATAGCCCCATCTTATGGAGGTGTTTTCTTAATTGAGGCTCCATCCTCTCAGATGACTTTAGCTTGTGTCAAGTTGGCATAAAGCACAACTGTTCCCTTGTCAATTTAAGCTCTGACTAGGTGACTTTCACAGCTGCTGTTCTTGGCAGCCATCCTGTGATACTGTTATCTCCAAAATGCTGAGGTCTCTTTCTGCAACTGAGCCGCACCTCAAGCTTGCCCTGATGCTCCTGATTCTCCTCCCTCTACCTCCTAAGTGTTGGGATTATAGGCATGAACAGCAAAGCCCAGTTTATTATAGTCTGTGTCTGTTACCATGGTCAGTACACATACTGTCAAACTGAGGGATATGTGGGGAAAGACGTTTTGTCTCTAAGCAAAGACAGGTAAAATTCAGGGTCAATGTGGAACCTCATTTTAGCTTAAATAGTCATTCTTTTTTCTAAAGTAATTTCCAAAAAGACGAAAGCTATTAGACAATGGTGTCTAATAGGCCTTAAGCATTTGGAAATTCACACATTTAAAACATCATAGTTTAAGGGAAAGCTAAGTCCTGCAGGAAGTACTATACCAAACCCCTTTCTGAGTTTTCACATGGCCTTTCTAAGCTGCCCGTGGACAGCTGTCATCCTTCTCTTCAGTCCTATAACCAGACGAAAATTCAATCTGTACCAGGCGTGGTGGTACATGCCTTATAGTACAGATGGGGGAACTGAGGCAGAAAGATTGCTTCAGCCCATACATTTTGCTTCATAACCCTAATTCCCTGAGTTCAATGCCTAGAAACCAAGTAAAGGTAGAAGGAACCAGTTTTCCTCTTACCATATGCATGCAATGGCAAGCGCACTCCCCCCCCCAAAAAAAAAAAAACATCTAACACAGCAACACAAACAAAAACTTAACTAAAAAAAAAAAAAAAAAAAAAAAATTGTTTGGGTTGTTATGTTTAAGCATTTAAAATGGCCTTTCTCTGAGAATTCTCCAAGGGACATTTAAATTACCATAGGAAAATAAATAAAATTAAATGAATACAGATTTTAAAATGGAACTTGCTGAGAGCCAAGAACTTTTATTTACATATCTTATCATTCCTACAACACTCTAGGGTAGACAGCATTGTCCTATTATCAGATAGGACACAATAAAAGCTCTAACATCATTGCCAGCAAAGTTATTCACTAAGAGAACCATAATCCAAATCTCCAGACTACAGATTACAAAGATCCCTAGCCTTGCGAATCAGGTCCCTGATAAAGAGACCACACAGGCATGTACTTCCATCCTGTTTTAAGTGGGTAGAGTTTTCCATAGAACTAACTGCTAAAAACATGAAAAACCATCAAACTGCTATAAACAGTTTCCTTTTCCTAGATAGAAAATATCTTTAAGATTAGCTTTCCCCAGGAAGTTTACAGATCTCAAAATTCTCTTAAAACTGCAAGATTTTGTACTTCTAGGACTATATATATTTTAATTTCTGAATTGCTTTACTGAAGGGTGTATGTACATGCCAGGACATGTGTGTAGAGCAGAGGACAACATGGGGGAGTCAGTTCTCTCCTTCAGTATGTGGGTTCCAGAAACCAAACTCAAGTCATTAGGACTAGAAGCAAGCACCTTTACCCACTGAGTTTCTCCAGCCCTACAATACACATTCTTAGGGCTTGGGCTCTACATATGTCATTAGGATCTCCATGGCTTAAGTACCACATACTTAATACTTTTCTAACCCCTTTCGTAAGAAGAAAACCAAGCAGTACTCATTTAAGAAGCACACTAAAATTAGAACATTAGCATTTCTTAGCAAGGTTGACGGCAAATTTGTCACGTGTTTCATTTCTGTTTTTCTTTTTTCAAAGCAATGTTTCATTTATCTAATGATAACTAACTTGAAACTGGATTAGTGAGAGTTACAGCTAAGGACCATGAAACAGAATAACTTTTAATTTTAATGTATTTATTTAGAGACAGGGTCTCACTATGTAAACCTGGCTGGCCTGGCCCTTCCAGAATGCTGGGATTAAGGTGTGTGATACTGTACACAGCAGTTTTGTTTTTTAACAGAATCTTTTCTTGTCTCTTTTGACAATTTCATACCATAAACACCACATCTTGATCATACTCACTCTCAACCCCCAGGAACTCTCAGCCCCTCTCTCCCACTTTCCAGAGTAATGACTGAATCTCTCTTAACTATTTTTTGAGACTGAGTCTCACTCAGTGTGTAGTCAAGGTTGGCCTAGACCTCAATATAGACCAGACAGGCCTTGACCTCCCAGAGATGTGCCTGCCCCAACAGTTGTGTGATTACTGGTATGCACCACTTCAGCTAGCTTTAATCTCTCTTAACCACATATTGGTTACTTAAATTTACTTTTGAACAAAGAAATTCTGAAATATTTAAGTAATACCTTTTTCCTGAAAACTACAACTCCAAAGTAATTTTTTTTTTCTTTCTGGTCACTGACTCGATTACTTATATTAAAGCAACAAATTTTGTTTGTTTGATTGGTTGGTGAGGAGAGGTTTGATCTAAAAGAATTTAAGATTTATTTGTAAACTTTTTAAAATGTATATGGCTGTTTTGTCTGCATATATGTCTGCACATCAGAAGAGGCCTTCGGATGCCATGGGACTACGGGTGTAGATGTTTCTTATCTGTCATGTGGGTGCTGGGAATTGAACTCAGGTCCTCTGGAAGAGCAGCCAGCACTCTTAACCACTAAGCTGCCTCTCCGGTCCCTAATTTTTTCTTAATGTGAGAATACTTACCTGAAAGGGCCTGCACTGGGTAAACAGCCTGTTCCCAACAGGTTTCCTCCCCAGGACTTGTGGACAGACTGTGTTCATCATCCAGCTGCAGAACAAACCAGACCATGACAGCATCCAACATGCCTTCTTTAACAGCAGGAACACTAAGAGGACAAGGCTCTTTAGCTGCAAGACTCTTTAATTCCTGAAAAGAAATGTAGAATGGGTAAGAAAACAGAGTTTAGGAAAATAGTAAGGAGCCAAAAGTTTTTTTAAATAATAAAAAAGAATGAGACAACTTTATAAATGGAATATATATTTCTCTCAATATCACATCCACAGCCCATCCTCATGGTTCACAGTCCTGCCCTGTCCAGCTAGGGAATCACAGGATATCATACATCTATTAAACATACAGCAAAAGTGCATGTGAGCACGCGCGCGCGCACACACACACACACACACACACACACACACACACACACACCACTGGTGAAGGAAAAAATGCCAGTGACACAGCAAAGCGATGGGGTCATCTTACACTAGAAAAGTGTGTGAATGTGCAAATGCACACACAGGGAAAGAGCAAGCTGCAACACACCTTCACACACATGATGTGGGGAAGAGGTAACCTCTCAGAAGGTAACACCAGGGTCTTTCCATTTCTGCCCTGTGCCCCTTCAAAGAGTTTAACACAGACACTGTTTCTAAAACTAAAACCTTTACAGGGTGTGTGTGCTGTAAGAAAAAAAGTCAAATAAAAACTATTAAAATAAATAAAAGAACAGTTGTGGGATACTTAATAGCTACATTTCCACTACTCTCTGGAACATGATGTCTGGTCAGGAATGCTTAACATCGCAAAACCAAACTTACAAAGCTGCACATCATCCCCAAAAAAGGTAAGTTAAAGAGGAAGCTTACATTCTTAAATCTCTCTGTCTCTCTGTATCTCTGTCTCTCTCTCTCTCCCTCTCCTCTTTCCTCTCTCTCTCTCTTTGGTTTTTTGAGACAGGGTTTCTCTGTTTTGGAGCCTGTCCTGGAACTAGCTCTGTAGACCAGGCTGGCCTCCCCGAGTGCTGAGACTAAAGGCGTGCGCCACTAGCACCTGGCTTACATTTTTAAAATTTCATGTTAAAATAACCTTCCCCCAGTCTACCACAACCTCTATGCCACAAAAGGAGCACCTAAAACATGTGCCATGGACATTATTCTTTCAAGACACTAGGAAGGGGTTTTATTGGACACTTCTTGGGTTCTGTGGGCACTTTAACCAAGACCTAAATATTCTGTGTCTCACTAAATTCTTCAACCCTGGATGGAACGGGATGCCATTGCCCTAACACAATGGTTCTCAACCTTCCTTATGCTACAACCCTTTAATACAGCTCTTTATGTTGTGGTGACAACCACCATAAAACTATTTTCCTTGCTACATCATAACAAGTAGTAATTTTGCTACTGGTATGGATCACAATGTAAATATCTGAGCTTTCTGATGGTCTTAGGTGACCCCTGTGAAAGGGTTGTTTAACATCCCTCCAAAGGGTCACAACCCACAGGATGAGAAAAAGTGCTCTAACAACTTTAATTTATTTAAATTTAGATTATTAAGTTTACATATTGTTCATTTTAAGGAAAACCATTCATTTGAGAAGACAGCATCACAAAGAGAAAATAAAACTCTAGGCCAGACCTTTCGTCTGTGCATTTACATACATCATAACATGGCAGAGTGTATTAGTGCAAGCGGTTTCATCTCAATTAACACACATTATCTCACCTCTGCTGTCAGGTGGATCCTCATGTAAAACACACAGCACAGCATGCACTCTCAAACTAGAGAGCTATTCCCAGCACTTAAAAAGAACATTTCCAAAACAGAATTTTAATTTGCTGCTAATCATTCCTTCATAAGTAGAACCTCGTGTACATTCAAATCGTAAGACATAGCTAGGCAGTACTGGTGGTAGCAGCATACACCTTTAATCCAAGCACTCACTCGAAAGGGAGGTGGATGTCAGAGTTCAAGGCTAGCCTGGTCTACAGCTTGAGTTCCAGGACATATCTACACAGAGAAAGCATGAAGAAGGAGAAGGAGGAGGAGGAGAAGAAAAGAAAGGAAGGAAGGAAGGAAGGAAGAAAGAAAAGAAAAATTAAGAACTCATATATTACCTGAAACAATTTAGAAAATTCTTTAACTTCTATAAAGAATTGAGGGCCAGGTGGCACACCACAGAGGTAGGAGATCTCTAGATTTACAGGCCAGTCTGGTTTACAAAGTAAGTTCCAGGTCAGCCAGGGCTACACAGAGAAACCCTGTCTGCGGGGAGGGGAAGAATTAACTTCTTGTTTTTACCTGAAGACTGTTGAAATCCACTTTCATAATTTCAAAGCACTCTGTCAGAGGCAAATACCCTCCAGGGATCTGACTCATCTTTTCAGTTGTATAAGGTTCTACTGCTTCTCCAGTATCTACAGAAGAATAGGCAGGGCTCTGAAATTTCACATTTGCTGGCAAACGGATACCAGCAACATCCTTAGTACCCACCCTAGGAAGAGTTTAGGAAAAAGAGAGGTAAAAGATCATTTTTATATTATCAAAATCAGCATCTAATAGTTGACAAAATATAAAAATGAAATGAGACCACATAGGCACAGATTCCTTAAATTATATACATATACAACCACATGAAGAAAAAGGTGACAAAGTCCATATTAAAATGGACAATTAATTCTGTAGGACAGAAAGAGGGTTCAATGTTAAGCACACTCGCTATTCTTGTAAAGGTCCTGAGTTAACTTTAACTCCCAGCAGATACACCTGTAACTCCAGCTCCAGGGGACACACCACACTCTTATGTGCTCCACAAACATCACACACACAAGGCAGGCATCCACACAAACACAGGCACAAATAAAAATTAGAAACTTTCAAATGATTCATATTCAAATGTACTTTTGAATTCTGGCAAGTTGATAGAAGACAAACAGAAATGGACAAAACACTTACATACTTCACCAAAGAGGATAACCAAATAAAATAAGAATAGCAGTGATCATCAAAGCCATGAAATGAACCCACAACAGGAGTAGTCAATAACAAGGGTGGCTGAGGATACTGTCTCACACAACTGTATTACTGGCATTCTTTAATGAATTAAATTAACACACAGAGGCATAGATAGATAGATAGATAGATAGATAGATAGATAGATAGATAGATAGATAGATAGATAGATAGAAAGAACACTGATGGTCAACCAGTACATTCTCATTCAACCAACTTGGTAATGGGGCCTGTCTGTTTGGTCTCCTGTGCCTACCAACCTCTACACATTTTACTATATCACCCTGTAACATAAAACAAAGATTGATGAACAATTCACAGCAAAGATGAGCAGTAGCTATTTCCTGGTGATCAGTTCAGGGTGATTTTTATTCCTTTCTTTTATTCATCAATATTTGTATTTTTATGTTATCTTTACTCAGGAAGGTAACATCTTTGAATGATTTAAAATTGCATTCTGCCCAATCATTGCATTAGTGAAGTTGCCATGAAAACCAATACTAAAATTTACCTTCACACTGGAAATCCTTACTTGAACTTCAATTAAAATCAATCTGCACTTAATATTTTTCTACACAAACTTCTCACAGAGTTAAATGACAGTAAGCTGTATGAAAAATTTCCATTTAGAAAAAGCTAGTTTTAATCCTAGAGGTCCATTTAAAATTAGTAAGACAAAACGTTACAAACATGACTAAGTCTTGAAGTAGTGTTTTTCTTGGGGGTGGGGCAGAGCTGGAGGGTGCTTTCTGAGACAGGGTTTCTTTGTGTAGCCCTGGCTGTCCTGGAACTTGCTCTGTAGACCAGGTTGGCCTCAAACTCAGAGATCCACCTGCCTCTGCTCCCTACCCCAACCCAGTGCTGGAAATGAAGGTGTGCACCACCACTGCTAGGCTTAGAGTATTCATATAGCCACTTACCTATGATGTCTTCGTATCTCTGCACACTCTACTGCCATCCCAAATATAACAACACTTGCTGGTATAACTTTCCCATACTGTCCACAATTCCCATTTTCTCCTTTGGTCTGAAAATATAATAAAGGTCATTCAATTACATGTGCAAAATAAGTGTGTGTGTGTATACATACAGACCAAGGAATCTTTCCTTTAAAGAGGGTTTTTACTGTTTTTTGTGTGTATATATAAATATATATGTAACTTAATGTTTAGAATACAAGTATAAAGAAGAAGACAGAGGTATAAAGCTATATCACTTCAGGATATAATTTAATTTAAAAAAAAAAAAACAAGCTGCTGGTGGTGGCACATATCTTTAATCCCAGCACTTGGGAGGTAGAAGCAAGCAGATCTCTGCAAGTTCTAGGCCAGCCAGGTCTACAGGTAAGAGTTTCAGGACAGCCAGGGATACACAAAGAAACTCTGTCTTGAAAACAAACAAACAAAAACAAAAGGAAGGACTGGAGAGATGGCTCAGAGGTTAAGAGCTCTAGCTGCTCTTGCAGAGGACCCCAGTTCAATTCCCAGCAACCACGAAGCTCACAACCATCTGTAGCTCCAGCTCCATATGATGCAATGCCTTCTGACCCCCATGAACACTGCACATGTGCGACAGATGCACACACACTCTCGACAGGCACACACTGGCAAAACATTCAAACATAAAATAAAAGTAAAAAAAACAATTTAAAACCGGAAAGAAAATAAAAGTAGGCTTGAAATACAGCTGAGGAGTAGAGAGTACTCGCCATGTATGAGGCACCAAGTTCAACTCTAGCACCAAGAGAAAAAAAGAAAGAAAAATATCAAAGTCATCATTATTTATTTGAAAAATAAACTGCTGTTCTGTGTTAAATACATATTCTATAAACAGTAGACTTGTATTAAAGTCCCTTAATATATACAATGTATATGATAAATGAACTTTACTATACATATGGCTTGTGGATATAGAGGAGTCCAGGGTTCTGCCTAGTAGCTTGAACTCACTGAGTAGCTTAAAACAATACAGAACTAGTATTACTTTCCTGTTTTCTAGCGATTTGCCAAAATTCCAAGCACTGTGAGATTCAAAGTGCTTCCCTCTTCTACAACTATTCTCAAGAACATTAGTCGGGCCCCCCCACAAGTAAGATCACTCCTTCGACTCCCTCCCCACCATAACTCATCTGTAAACACAGCACACACTGTGATGCATAGCTGTCCATGCTTTTTCTTGTGTTTCTTTCCAGGGATAGACACACTCTGACATAGTTCCTTCCTGTCTTGTGAACATTCCCAGGGCTCAATGTGCTTCTTGAACTCTTAATCAGATCTCAGTGTTTTTTCAATGCTTACCTTAGGTTGCAGAAGTAAATGCTCCCAGGCATGAATCAAACTCTCCACAATTCCTTCTCCAAACACACCTGCATCGACAGTTTCTGTTACAACTAGGGACACTCTATAGAATGATGTTTTAAAGACACATGTAAGTAAAATGACGTGCTATTTTTCTTTCTTTTAAGATTCATTTATTTATTATGTATACAGAGTTCTGACTACATGTATGCTTACACACCAGAAGAGGGCACCAGATCTCATTAGAGATGGCTGTGAGACACCATGTGGTTGAACTCAGGACCTCTAGAAGAACAGTCACTGCTCTTAACCTCTGAGCCATCTCTCCAGCCCCACAAGCTATTTTTCTAATGCACTTCATTTAGCATATTCCCCTGAACCCTGGGGGTGTCCCTTGGCTCCTTTCTTCTTCACTAGCTTCTCTTCCTTGCTCTGGGAACAGAAGGGTTTGCCTTCTTAGACTCTGATTCACTGCCTGAGTCCTTAAGACATCTTTACTGGTCCCTTCCTTAACATCAAATATTCAGCTTCTAACTCTTAACACTCCATACAAACGTTTTTCTACTAGCATGGAATGGTAGCTTATATCTGTAGTCCCAGAACTTGGGATGTGGAAACAAGAGGATCAGGCAGAACTTAAAGGTAATCTTTGACTACATGATGAGTGTGAAGCTAGCCTGGCTTACATGAAACCCTGCATTAAAAAAGCAAAAACAAATGAGGGAAGGAATACATCCATAGATTATCTACATTAATGACCCTTCTCAAAATGAATTTTTGTTTTGTTTTTTAAAACAGGGTTTCTCTGTGTAGCCCTGGCTGTCCTGGAACTCACTCTGTAGAACAGGCTGGCCTCGAACTCAGAGATATTCCTGCCTCTGCCTCTCAAGTGCTGGGATTAAAGGCATGTATCACCCCACCAAGAATGAATGTTCTTTCTCAACTGTCTATTTTCTAATTTGTTTGCTTTGTATATGAATATGTGTACAAACTATTTCTGTGGGTATGGGCATGCCATGGTGCACATGGGGATGTCTGAGACTGTTCTGTCCTTCCTTCTACCTTGTGGGTTTGAGGGATTGAATACAGGTCATCAGGCTTGGCAACAAATGTCTTTACCCAGTGAGCCACCTTGCCAGTCCAGTTATAATTTTTGATATGCAAATAACATTTAATGTGGACAAGAACCTTCCCTTCCAAAAACTGTATCTCTGCCTTCTATATTACACATATCTGACTGCGCCTCTAACTCTTCTCTAGTCTTTATAGAGTTACACACTTTTATTCATTCACTCACTCTAGAAAACTCAAAGACACTCAGAAAGAGTCTTTCCCTTCTCTGAATTACTTTAGCTTTCACTTGGCACAATTCACTTCTAGAGTCTAAAGATATAGAAAAATTTCCTGACCATTCCTTACATTCCTCTCTACATCTCTAGGTATCTTAAGGATAGGACTGACCTGGGTATCTTCCACAATACCTAGACCCAATTAGACCTACAGACAAAAAACTCTCAATACTCACAACTGTATGCACTTAGAATATAAAAAGTACCTCAAATTATCTAATCCTACAACTTAGTCTAGAAATTTGCTTAGGAGAAAAATGAACAAGTAAGAATCTGAACTGAAATATCTATTTTGCCTGACTCAAAAGCAGTCTGTGAACAAAATACAAATTAAAGTAACCTTAGCTTCATGCCATTCCAAATCTTATGTGGAAGTCCTAACTAATCCTACATTTGGAGACAGAGCCCTTCAGAGGCAATTAAGGTTAGATGAAGTCACCAACATGAGGTCCTAATTCAACAGGACTAGTATCCTACTGAAAAAGCAAACACTAGCAGCAAGTCACACACAGAGGAAAGGTCACAAGAGGACACAAAACCCAGGCAGACAACTGCAGCCAGGAGAAACTCTACTTAAGACAGTTTGTTTGGTTTGGTTTTTTAGAAAATAAGTATGCACCTACATTAACAATCTAATAAACTTCTTCACTAACAAAGACCACTGAAAAGTGTAAGTACCATGTACACATTATTAAAAATGGAAGAAAAAGCTGGGCAGTAGTGATGCATGCCTTTAATCCCAGCAACTGGGGTGGGGGTGAAGGGCAGGCAGAGCTCTGTGAGTTCGAGGCCAGCCTGATCTACAGAGTGAGTTCCAGGACAACTAAGGATATAAAGAGAAACCCTGTCTTGAAACAAACAAACAAACAACAACAACAACAAACCTGGAAGAAGACTTAAAAACCAGAGTTCAAATAACAAATAGAGCACCAAAAAATTCTCTACATGTAGACTACCTTTAACTAAGCTAAAGATAGATAGCACAAGCACAATTACAAAACAAGTATTACAGAAAGATGTAGGAGGGGTGATTCTTTAAAAGGATGGGCCAGATAATTGTAAATCCCTTCTAGTTCTAATGTTCCACTGATCTCCTAACACAGTGAGATGCAGATGAAAACATAACGCCTCTAAAACTGTACTTACAACATTTGAAGGACACAAAGCAGAATACTCTGTCAACTGGCACTTTCATTTTAATCAAGGATAGTAATGCAAACGTGATGTCTGCTGACATGAATTGTTCACACTTTATTAACACTTATTTAACACTGATGACTTACAGGAAGTCTATCTACTTTTATGGACAGGAAAGCATGAGTGTTGATGTGATGTGTTAAAGAAAGGTTTTTGTTAAATTCCTCACTCTCAGCTTTTCTTGAGTTCTTTAGGTATTTTTTAAAAAGCATGCTATTATAAAATCCTGTACCTTATTAAATTGGCTGACAACTGTACCATCACAAAATAAGGACATTAATACTTTTTTTAACACAAGAAGCTGGAAATGTATCTTCACGTTTTGGGTGAGTTATGAACACACCTTTCAGGAATGTGTTTCGGAATTTCTATATCAAGTGACTTCATATGTAGGAGCTTAATCCCAGTTTCCATCTTGTTTGCAGCCACTACATCACAGGCAAGTTCATACATGGTCTTGGATAATTCACAGGCGTATACTGAGTGTGCACCAGCTTTTTTAGCAAACATACTGCAAAAGAAGAAAAATCCACTGTATCTCTTTCCAATTTTAATAACATTATGATTCTTCAAACATGGGATCTTTCCATTCTTCAATATAACTATTACTTGTTCTGCATTTAAAAGATGAGAGCTAGCAAGACAGCTCAATGGGTAAAAGCATCTGCCATTCAAGTCTGACAACACAAATTCAATTCCTGAAACCCACAGTGGAAGGAAAAAACTGACTCCTGAGAGCTAACTTCTGGCTTCCACATGCATACTGTGGAGCATAGGCATGTGTACAAACAGAATACCACACACGCACACAGACACACACACACACAGACACACACACACACACACACACACAATAATCTAATTAAGCCAGATGTAAATAGAACTCACCTTTTTTTTTTTTTAATGATTTGTTTGTTATTATGTATACAGTGTTCTGTCTGCACATATTCCAATAGGCATCAGATCTCATTATAGGTGGTTGTGAATCACCATGTGGTTGCTGACAATTGAACTCAGGACCTCTGCAAAAACAGCCAGTACTCATAACACCTGAGCCATCTCTCTAGCCCTAGATGGAGCACATCTTTAATCCCAGAAGGCAGAGGCAGGTGAGTTCAAGGCCAGCCTGGTCTACAGAACAAGTTCCAAAACAGGAAAAACTACAAAGAGAAACCTTGTCTTGTATATGTACACACACACACACACACACACACACACACACACACACACACACACACACACACACACACAGAGCAAGTTCCTGGCCAGCCAAAGATACATACACTATCTCAAAAAAGATTAAAAAAATTAAGATTAAAAAAAATAATAAATGAAGCTTGGTACAGTGGTGCATAGCTTTAATTTCAGCACTCAGAAGGCAGAGGCAGGAAGATTTGTGCGAGTGCAAGGCCAGCCTGGTCTACAGAGTGAGTTCAAGGACAGCCAGGGTTATAGAGAGAAAATATGTCTCAAAAAAGAAAAAACAAAACAAAAAATACAAATCAACAACAACAAAAAACCAATAATAATAATAAAGAAAAAATAAACTAGTATAGTTGTATGCTTGTTTAATATAAATAATGTCCACACATTTTGTTTTGTTTGTTTTTGAGACAGGGTCTTTCTACATAGCATTGTCTGACCTGCAACTCACTATGTAGATCAGGCTGATCTCAAAGTCACAGAGATCCACCTGCCTCTGCCTCCTGAGTGCTGGGATTAAAGGAGTGTGACATTATGTCTGGCTCAGCATCCACGATTATGACACAACTAGCAAGAAGATTGCTTAATAAGCTTTCGAGATTCCACTAGAATATTAATATAAAAAATACTCTAAAATTCATTATACAGAATTTCAGTAACCCACGGTTTGCTTAGTTTTCTTTAACTTTTTTTGATAAGTAAAATCATAGTAAAAACTACAATACTAATAACTGCATCAAACAAGGTGGTGGTATTACATGTCTTTAATCCCAGCCTTCAAGAGGCAGAGACAGGCAGATCTCTGTGAGTTTGAGGTCAGCCTGATCTAAAACTTGAGTTCCAGGATAGCCAGGTATGTTATACAGAGAAACTCTGTTTCAGAGAGAGAGAGAGAGAGAGAGAGAGAGAGAGAGAGAGAGAGAGAGAGAGAGAGAGAGAAGAATAATTCATGAGTAACTCAAACAATAGTAGGAAAAACTGCTGTTTTGATATGCCAATGTTATAATTTTGGTATCTACAAAACTGTTTATTCAATAATTACAAACCTCAGTATTCCAGTTCCTGTGCCAATATCCAAAACACTCTTGGACCCTGAGCACACTGCCTTCTGGATTGCTGCATTATAAATCCTATTCCTTTTGGTGTCATTAAGCATGATGAAGTGCCAGCGTTCCACCAGCCAGTTTGCAACACGGTAAAAGTTCTCCTTCGCATCACTGAAGTCAGGGTTTAGCTTCACTGCTTTATGAAAATACCCAGCTGCCTCATCTCGAAAGCCCATTCTAGAGGGGGAAATGACAATACATTCAACTCTATGTGATCAATTACAGTGCCTCTGTTCAGGCACTAACCCAGCCTGAGAACCCTTCATTACTACCCCAGATCTCAGAGCAATCTATCTCCTTGGCAAACTTTCTCTTTCTAGAGTATGGTACTCTCCTAACTTCTTTTCCAAATCCCTACCTATGCATCTCAGAGGTCCTGGGGGTGGGAGTGGGGGGTGTCATAACTCATACTGAGTTGAATATGAGCAGATAAAAAAATAAAGAACTAAGGGGAAATACTGTCAAGTCATCTCAATGTTGCTTCTCAAACTGTGAAGAACTCCCTGTCACTATTGAAAATAGTTAATCATTGGCTGACGGCACCGCCCCCAACTAGTATGTGTCTCACATACCATCAGACTTCAGCAGCATCCAAACTGGTCTATACATACTTAGTTTACCCATGAGTTCCTTGACCAGAGACATGGATTTCTACTAATATCAAATTCTATACATGGCTGTCATGAATCAGTAATTTCTGGACCACACATTCAACAGAGTAGAATAAACAGAATTCTCACTTGTTTCTTTACAAGCACCTTTAGTCACCATCCATTCTAAAGAAACTTAATCCTGGCTATTTATTCTAGGCATGACTAAAGCAAATGGGACCAACTAACAAAGGGGCCATGCTATGTTAAATTGTAGGCACTCATGTTTTAGTTTAAAATAGAAATATTTAAGGTCAATACATGTTACTGCTTTGTAACCCTGAATGTAACAAAGGTGTGTTCTGCGACTGACAGCACACATCACAGTAGAAAACACATGGTATTAATGTGAACACGCCTTGCCATGCTGGAGCAAAATGTAAAACAAGGAAGACTATTGCTCACTTAACAAAGTTTACTTTGTCAGAACTGCAGAGATTGTATACACTCCCTTCTCCAGAGCACTGACCCTACATAGCCCTGAGTCAAGAAAGGAGCCCTTGGAAGTAGGAGACAAAACTTGATTATTGTGCAAGTTTAAATGTAACTGGCCCTTATAGGCTCACAGGGAGTGGCACTATTAGGTGTGTCTTTGTTAGGAGGAAAGGAATCACTGTGGAGGCGGGCTTAAGGTCTCTTATATGCTTAGGCCCTGCCCAGCGTCTCAGTTCACTTCCTCCTGACTGCTGATCAACAGTGTGGAAATTCGTAAGAGTACTGGAAGGAATGTGAAAAATGACAATTCATTTATTAAATTCTTAAATTAAAAATTGCAACTTTCCAGTCTGACAGAACCATGCTCTGCCTCCATTACTTCAAATTCAAAAGCAATGCTTTTATTGTAATTCTGTAATTTCTCAGGAATGTGTATGGCTTAAACTGGTGTGCATAGAGTTCACATGGCAGACCTGACTGGTTCCCTTTGAGAAGTCTACTTACAAGGCTGACCTCTGACTATTATGTGGGGTTTTGATGTTTTAACAGGTAAGTGATTTAATGTTTCTCAATGATTATATAAGCAATGTGACATGCTGCATATGGCTTTTAGTCTGGGAGTCTAGAGTTTGCGGATGCAACACAGGGAGGTGGTAGCTAAGTATACAACCACCAATACAAATCCTGTGTACTAGAACTCCCCAGACTACAAACACATGACTTACTGAGGCGGAAAATATATACTGTGACTTCATAGAGGACCTGAATGCATAGTTTATACTTGCTTTGGACTAATTCTCTTCATAATCTTTAAGTAATAGTGACGTCATTACAAACCTGAAGAGATGCTCTCCCATACTATTGCAGATCACTTCATCATCAGGAAATAGTTCCAAGGCCTGCTCATAGCAGCCAAGTAAGTCTTGTATTCGACTTAGTGCATCAAGCTCTTCAGCCCACTTGAAAAGTGTATACTGAAAAGTTTCCTTTACAAACATGAAAAAAAAAATATAAATTAGTAAACTAGAGTGAAGAATACAAAACTCTAGCTGAAGATTCCAACAAACGAAACTATAACTGGAGTGGGCTGGGCATTGATGACATACACCTTTAATCCTAGCACTCGGGAGGCAGAGGCAGGCGAATCTTTGTGAGTTTAAGACCAGCCTGGTCTACTGAGCTAGTTCCAGGACAGCCTCCAAAGCCAAAGCCACAGAGAGACCCTGTCTAAAAAAATAAAATCAAAAACAAAACAACAAAAACTAGAATGAAAGATGACCTGAAACTGATAACTTTTAATTATTGTTTGCCAAATGTGGTAGTTTGAATAATAATGTCCTCCCATAAACTCAAATATTTGAATGCTTAGTCATCAAGAAGTAGCACTTGTTTGAGAAGGATTAGGAAGTATGGCCTTGTTGTTGTTGGAGGAAGTATATCTCTGTGGGTGGGCTTTGAGGTTTCAAAAGCCCAAGCAAAATTCAGTGTTTGTCTCTGTCTATCCTACACCCCCTTCCTGCAGATCAAGATGAGGCTCTCAGCTACTGCTCCAGTGCTTCCCCACCATGATGATAATGGACTAAACCTCTGAAACTGTAAGCCACCCCCCAACTAAATGCTTTCTCGTATAAAAATTGCCTTGGTCATGATGTCTTCACAGCAATAGAACTGTGACAAAGATACCAAATAAGCACATGCAAAAAAAAAAAAAAAAAAAGTGTGTGTATGTGTGTAGAGTAAGGCAGTATGATCTTTCTGTAAACATCTGTTCTTAGTCTCTGCTTTTTCCAGGTAGCTGTGATTCAGGAGTGTTCTCGACCCTCTCATTCATTCCCTAGTGCAGGATCACCTATGTGTGTTAGTGATGCAACATATACATGTCTACTTTGTTCGTTTTAGGTTTTTTTTTTTGTTTGTTTGTTGTTTGTTTGTTTTGAGACAGGGAATCTATGTGTAACTTTGGAACTCACTCTGTAGACCAGGCTGGCCTTGAACTCAGAAATTCACCAGCCTCTGTCTCCCAGGTCCTGGGATCAAAGGCATGCACCACCACTGCCTGGATGTATGTACCTACTTAAGACCTTGCTTTCTGGTTATCTCTACCAGTCAGGCACCGAGTCTCTAGTCATCTCATCAATCAATGTGCAAGAAACCAGAACTAAAACTCAAAGATGAACATGAATTTTGCTCCTATCCTCACAGAATCTTGTTGGCAGAAATTGAAAATCTTTAAAAAGTTCAAAATGTTCTCAACTGCCCCGCCACATTCCCTTCACACGATATAAAGGTACCATTCTATCTCAAACCACAAACTCACTATTTGCTATAAATTTCCTCCAAGATGAAAACATTCCATCCTGCGAGAAAGCTCTTTAAAACAGAAGGTAAACTGCTCAAGATAGCTTCAGGAAATCCCTGAAACTAACCAGATCCACTATGTCCCTCCCTCCTGAGAATAAACAATAATGTCTATTGTTTATTCATGAGAGTCACTCAGACAAGCCAAGCTTCAAACAAGACCCTTGAGATCAGACAAGCTGCCTGGAACAAACAGATACCAGCCAGGCTGCCTGGAAGTGAACAGAGTCACTTGAGAACACACTCCCCAATCTGTTGGGTTGCCACAGGCCTTGCAGACTGTTCCAGATTCCAGCTCTGTGAGCTATTATCCATGGTGAGGTGGGTTTTGATGACACAGCTGTCTTTAAGTTACTTCTGTCCTTATAAGTAACCCCAATAAAACTCAATGGTTCACTAAGTTGGACTTCGATGGTATCCAGTATTGGTCTGTCATGGGATCCCTCTCTGGACTGAGGAGACATGTATTGTGAAAGTTTTGTCATAACCCATCCTAACTCCATTATCTTTAAATCTGACGCTTCCTGATGATCTCTATTGCTATAGCCTAACCTGGAGTGCAGCAATTGCCTTCGAATTGACAACTGAGCACCACGCCAGTCTCATCTTCCTGCAGCTGATTTCCATGACGCTGCACTATGGAAAGAAGGCAGGCTCAGACATCCCAGCTTTTAAGACAACAAACTTTACACATAAGAGTTAATATCAGAAGCCAAATTACAACAGTTTACTAGAAAGACAAGGATAATGAAGGAGATCCTATTATATGACAAATATTCTAGATATCTAAATAGTGTATGACTGGATCAAGAGTTGTCCTGTAGGTTAATAGATTATTCAGTGGTTGAGCACTCTTTCCTACAATGCTTAAGGCTGTGTGGTTTGGTCCCTGGTAACAACAAAAATAAATAAATAAAACCGCTAAGACAGGTGTTGGTGGCACACACCTTCAATCTCAGCATTCAGGAGGCAGAGGCAGGTGGATTTCTGTGAGTTCAAAGCCAGCCTGGTCTACAGAGTGAGTTCCAGGACAGCCAGGGCTACACAGAGAAACCCTGCCTCATGTGGGGGTGGGGGAGAGATAGGAAGCCAGTTACTAAGTACTATTGAATGAATGCTAGTAATTACCAGCCTGTTTGCTTTTAACAAAAAACAAAAGACAAACAAACAAAAAAAAAAGGATAGGGTTGTATCTCAAACCCTATCTCATTATGTAGCTAAGCATAACCTGGAACCTGGCACCTTATGGTTCTCCTGCCTGTACCTCCCAAGTTCTGGGATTACAGCTATGTGTTGCTACACTAGGCTTAGACCTAATACATGTTAGACACAATTCTACTGATGGAGCTATGTTTCCAGCCATATACTCAAACTTACATACTTTTTCTGTACTGGGAATGGAACTCAGAGCATCACACTCAGGGCAAGCTGTTGGACAGAACTATCCTCCAAGCCAAACAACTGCCATCTTGAAGGACAGTTTAGCTGTTTCCACTTGCAAAGATAATACCAGACAGACTTTGTGACTGTTTAAATCTGTCCCAGAAAGGGAGGCTGGGTCATGAGACCCTCATCTGAGTAACCTGCAATTCATACCACCTGTTACATGCAACATTGCCCTAACTTCATGAACTCAAGTAGAGTCTAGAGCTGTGGTTCTCAACCTTCCTAATGTTGCAACCCATTAATACAGTTCCTCACATTGGGGTTACCCCCAACCGCATAATTACTTTTGTTGCTACTTTATATCTTTTGTAATTTTGCAATTGTTATGAATCATAATATAAATATCTGGTATGTAGCTATCTGATATGCAACCCCTGTGAAATGGTCATTCAACCCCCAAAAGGGCCACAACCCACAGGTTGAGAACCCCTGGTGTAGCGTTTAAGCCAGGGAAGACAGTAGAAGATGGCAGGGAGAGAGTCCAGCCATGCAGTTTTGAGAAAGCTACCATTCCTGCTGAGTAAAGGCTTTCCAGTGCAGCCTTTTGTGGGGGGAGCTCCCACACTCCAGTCACTAGCCCCTCATCTATGTTCTGCTCTGTAAGTAAGCCCAATGAACGCATTGATTCTCCAGAGACCTTAGTTTGTTGTTGGACCTTATGTCTTCCCCTGGAGAAGCATTTTACCAACATAAGCACTCTATCAAGGACCTACACTCACAGCCAAATTTCATGTGTACTTTCCACACCCAATATTTATCTTCTCCATTCACAGAAGCAGCAGCTAGAACTGAGTAAAGAGGAATTGTGTTCATTCTACCTCTGTCTATTCAGAGGAGCCAATGACCCAGAATGCTATCATACTGAGTTAAACCAACAGGTACTGAGATTTCTGTGAATTACATAAGCCTAATGCTACTGAAATCTAGTGGGCAGACCATGCTGCTAACTATGAAGGAAAACATAGGGCTGTCTCTTGCAAAATGTCAACAGTGTCAGGTTGACAAATTCTGGCCTAAACAAAGCAAGATCGTCCGCAGCTTTTAAACTGAAAATACATGAGTTCAACGTGGTAACTGTTGCACATAAGAAAAGGAAGGCCTCACCTTCACATCTTCTTTGAGCTCCGGTGCCAGGCTGAGCACTAGGAGGTAATGGGCATAAGCAGTTCCAAAGTCCTGGGCGCTCAGACAGTGCTCAGCGCTGTGCAAGGACCGCGCCACCAGCCGATCCCTACCGGCCGCCTCTGCGCCACTCGCGGTGCCCTGGCGGGATCTGGACCTCGAGTTCGACATCTCTCTCTCGGCTCGGAAGACCTCGGGGAAGACGCCCTCCTCAGGGAAAAGAGCCTCTCTTCCCTGGGAGCCAAAGCAGCAAGAGAAGGCGCAGAAAGGAAGTGCGCTCTGCCCCTACACAGAGCAAAGCCCCGCCTTCTCAGCCGCGGGGCAGAACTGCGCGCGCAACTAGAAGCGACGCTCAGTGATGACGCCAGGCCGACGCGCTCTCTTGGAGAAAGCCCCACCTCCGCCGCACCCCCAGTGTCTGCCAGTACCTAGGCAGAGAGCACTTTGTTTTCGGTGTGGGGTTCATCTCCGGCTCCCCGCTGCGCGTGCCAGACCCTGCTTGGGTCAGCTGTGTGCAATGCTCAGGCTCTCTGGAGTTCAGCGCGCCAGTCTCACTATGGCAAAACGAAATCAAAGCTCCTTAAATTTGGTCATGGTGTATGTACTCTTTTAGCGTTAAATAGTCTCACAAAACCCATGATGCGGGACTTGGGATAACACTTGTTAGAGAAGGAAAAGGCAATCTCTGAGAATTACTTTAAGGTTGCACAAGTCCGTGGGATGGGTATGGCCGAATTAGAATTTCCTGATGACCTGTTACATTAATACAGAAGACAGGTCACATGTGGACGCTAAGATGTAAATCCTAAAGTTTTGAATGCTGTATAAGAATTATAGCATTAGCTATTTTTGTCCCCAGTTCCAAGAGATACCTAGTGTGTAAAGTGGCTAACAAGAAATGGACGTAAGAGCATTATGGGCATCGAACTAAAATTCTCCAGTGCTCCTAAAGTCAACTTTTGTGTACCTTTTTTGCTTTCTCTTGGGTTATTCTCTGGCCCAATCTTGTAAGCAGCTACCTATGTACATCTTAAGAAAGTTCTTCAAGACAGGAACTATTCTCAATTATCCTAGAATGTACAAAATAAGAAGTTTAGTGTTGTAGTTTCACACTTGATGGAAAGTGTTTTTCCTGCCTTTTTGTTTTGCTTGTGTGCTGTCATAGGCATTCATATCCTCATTTCCTGCTTTCTGTATTAAACAATGTAGGACTGAAGTATACAGAACTTCTCTGAGAAGATGGAAACACAGGAAGCCTCTGCTCCTAGTGGGAGTAGGACATAAAGATCAATACATTTCGGGGAAGGGTTGTGTGCCAGTTCACGCTTTTCCCCTTTTAGTTCATCTAGTAACCCTTCCTTAAGATGTTCAGAAAGACCCATACATAGTCAATTTTACCATTACCTAGAAACATTTAGAAATCATCTAAACTTTTAAAAAAGCTATTACACCTGTAATAACTGTAGACATTTAACCAAATATGTATGATGTTATTGCATAGTATAAAAGTCAGAGGTGATAGGCTGCAGCTGAGTAGGGAGATATATCCCATCCCAGTCCTTTCCAGAAACTTGCATGGTATGCTGGTTAGTGTTAATTTTTAACTTAACTGAATCTAGAATCACCTGGGAGACTGGCCACTGGTCATATTTGTGGGTGATTATCTAGACTGCTTTAATTGAGGTGGGAAGACTTACCAACTGAAGGTAACTGTTGGCTGGCTGAGACCATGGGTTGTATAGGTGGAGAAAGGAAACTGAGCCACAGTGTGCATTCGTCACTCTCTGCTGCCTGATTGTGACAATGATATGACCAGCTATTGCATACTATGATGCCCTAACTTCCCTGCAATCTCTTTTGTCAGTCTTTTATCACTGTGAGAGACAAAGTTACATTTACGTTTTAATTACTATGACTAAGAGATCTATGAAATAAAAATAAATCTGATCTACAAGCCCTACTGACCAAGGACAGATAGTTTCTAATGTGCTGGAGGTTATTGTTGATATAAGATAACAAGCAACATGTGTTTACTCCCCTAAACAAGTTCGTTTGACATATTTGCATAGGATGTGCTTGATCACATGTGGGCAGGAGGTTCACAGGATGAAGATATGTCAGGATGTATGCTTGGACCTGATGGAAAGTACAATGAAATATGGGTTTTTGTTTTTTCCTAAGGTCGCTACAAACTGTGACCCTAGGAACCTGGGAATGGACCAGGCCAGAGCCCACCCACCTGGCCAGTATTTAATTAAAGCTTGTCTCAAATTTGGCTTTAAACTGTGGTAGTGGTGGTTGATGTAAGTTTTCTGGCCTGACAAGGGTCCTGCCACCTTGGAGACCCAAATAAACACACAGATCCTATATGAGCTATAAACTGTTGGCCAATGACTAGGGCTTTTTATGGGCTAGCTCTGTTTTAATTATTAACCCATAACTACTAGTCTATGTATTTCTACATGGTCTTATTTTACCAGAGAACACCTGACTAGTGTCCTCTCTTCCTGTGCTCACATGTCGACTCCTCTCTGCCTACATTTTCCAGAATTCTCCTCCTGCCTGGCCAGATACAGAATAAGAAGGAAAGAAAAGATACAGAAAGAAAAGATAGAGAAAGGTGAAAGCCCAGAGTCAAAAGGTAGATGGCAGAATTTAAGAAAAGCTGGCTATAAATAAGCCAAGCTAGGGCTGGGGCATTCACAAGAAAGTACAAGCCTCCATGTGTTTATTTGGGAGATGGGTGGTAGGCCCACCAAAGAGTAAAAAGTGTAAAGAATAAAAAAACACTAACAATACATGAATGGATCTGAGGAGGGACATGTTTCTTGACAGAAACAGGGAACAAAAGAACAAACCATTGAGAATTAAAATTTCTGTAAGAAAATTTACAGTGCCACACTTCTCTACTGTGGAATTTATTTAATAAGCCCAGCAAAGTGAACCAGTTACATTTTCATCAAGTCCACCGGTGTTGTCTAAGAGTTGGAAGAACGGGGCTGGAAAGATGGTTCAGGTTTTTAGAGAATATACTGCTCTTCCAGCAGACAAATTTGGTTTCCAGCAATCCACATCAGATGGTTTACAAACTTCTGTAACTCTGGTTCCATGAATAGACATAGACATAATTAAAATTAATGAAAATTTATTTTGGGCTGGAGAGACAGTTCATCAGTTAAGAGCACTGGCTGTTCTTCTTGAGGTCCTGAGTTCAATTCCTGGCAACCACATGGTGGCTCACAACCATCTATAATGGGATCTGATGCCCTCTGTTGCCATGTATATACATAAAAGACATAAATAAATAAACCTTAAAAATAAATGTAAAATATTTTAAAAGAGAGGTATAGAGAGGATACTAGGCAAGAAATGAATAAGGACAGGAAAATAATTAAAGAATCTAGATGTGGTGATTTTCTCATCACCACTAAAACTAACCTGTGAACTGAGTCTACTGTGAAGAGGAGAATGATAGCCTTCCTGCCTCTCAGATAACCATACGTCACCAGACCTCACTAAGATGTATCTAAAATGGGTTTGGCACAGACCATTTGTGCTTCCTTATGTAACATAGTTTGCAGACACTATAGGAGGCCTTTTGCAAAAATACAACTGCCAAATTGGAGTTCCTGGTCATCTTAAGAAAGCACAATAGAGCTGAGTATGATGGTGCACTCAGGAGGCAGAGGCAGCAGATCTCAGATCTCAAGGCAAGCCTGGTCTACAGAGCAAGTTCTAGGACAGTCAGGGCTACATAAAGCAATCCTGTCTCAAAAAATATAAAAAAGGAAGAAACCAAAGTAGAAAATACATTTGACTCCTTTTTTTGTACCCTTATTCTTGCCTTAATGTGACTGAGAATTACTCAAGATTTCTTCTTGTTGTTTTTCCAGACAGGGTTTCACTATGTAACTCTGTCCTGAGACTCACTTTGTAGACCAGACTGGCCTTGAACTCACACAAATCTGCCTGTCTCTGCCTCCTGAGTGCTGGGATTAAAGGTGTGTGCTACCACCACCACCACAAGTTTGTAGTTGCTACCAAACCTGTATTCTGTACAGAGGATACAAAAATACAAATCAAAGCAAATGCTGATGTGCTAGTTAGTTTTTTGTCACCTTGAAACAGACCATGGTCACCTGGAAAGAGGTGTCAAAACATGGTCTCTGGATAAAGCTATGTAAGAAAAATTCTGGGAACTTGTGAGAAAGCAGTAAAAACAAGACAAAAGTCTTGTTACCTTTGTTCTTCCATAATACGGGCTGTTCTCTGAATGTGCTTCCATGGTCCTCCCAGCTATAGTTAAAAAAAAAAAAAAAAAAAAAAGAAGAAGAACTAGAAGAAGAAGTGTGTTTACTTCAGTTACCTATCATCTAGTATTATTATTCAGACATTTTCCCCAAGGTTGTGCTTCTGACTATATACAATTAAATTTATGTGACCTTTACTCATTTGACCTTGCTTAACCCTCAGAATAGCCTCAGAATATAAAGTCTCTGGTGCTCTAAATAAAGTTGGCTATTGCATGAGACATTAGACTTTTTGTTCCCCTTCTTTTGTCGAAACTGTGGGCCTTGGTGGATAAAGCAATCTTTTGCATGGCAAAATAATATCAGGATGTTTCCTATGATGGGGGGGGGGCTTTATTTCCCGTGTCAAGATGCAGTTAAGGTTCTGTTTGCATAGGTCAAAAACAAAACAATGAAATTGTTAGTGATATGGCAATCAGGATGAAAATTTCAACAGCAAGAACAGGAAGTCATGTTAGACAGTCACGCCTAAGAAAGTCTGATTTTTAAACACACCCTTTTCATTCACTTTCCACCATTGAGGATTGGGCTTCTCTTCCAGGGGCTCCGCAGATACCTTCTTGAAGTGTGAGTGATGAACCCAGGAAGAAATACCAGCATCTTTAACAACAGTAAGAGTCTGGAGAATCACAATCTAAGGTCCTTTCCATCAAGGTTCAAGCAGCTCAGTTTTGAATCTACAGACTAACACAGCATCTCCGCACTGGAATGGGTGGTCAGGTGAGTGGTACCCAACAGGTTGAACAGCCTGGACCTGAGGGAAAATCTTATCCAGAGTTAATTGCCATCCTTTTAAGGACTCAGAGATAGGAGTGGAGCAATCCTATAACAGCCCCGCATGTGCCTGAGGGATCATGGGAAGTGGTCACCCATATG